ATGGTACTTTGGCAACATTCCAGCTGTGATTCCGTCCGAATCCTCCATTCTGGCTTCATTATTGTTAAATCCCTCTGTACAGTGGACAGAGGACACAGCGTGCTCTCAGCTTGGGTCAAAGGGCTTGAATAGATTCTGGCTACATATGAAAATGTGTGCGTGTATATATCCAAGCCAGTGTGTATAGATTCTAATCTCTTTCTCTTTTCTTCTGTATATGCTAGTGCTTGCAAGTGTCTGCCAGTGTTTTTTCTCTGTGAGTGTGTGTGTGTGGATTGTGACGAGGTGGGGCATACCTTGGCCCTCAGTGGCTGAACAAAGCCTGTGTCTGTGGACTAATCGTAGTGTAATAAGCAAAGTAAACCTTCCAAGGCCTGCTCCACTTTCTTAATAAGACCCTTAGCCCATTGTGCTGAAGCCAGCGGCTTATTACTGCTCAATCTACCGTGTGTGTGTTTGTGTGTGTGTGCATGCGTGTATCAATTTCCTTTTATAGGAATATTGGATCGCCATTACGGCTACTGCCTCCAGCTGAGCGTCTCCATTGTACTAACCACTTGTAAACTGGACAACTCCGTCTTCTTTTGTCTTCTTTCTCCTTCTCTGGATTTTATCGTCTCCCGATCTTTGAAATTTGCAGTGTCCTGCATATTTTTTCTTCCTGAGCACTTTGTGTATTTGCCATCTCCCCTTGCATATATCGTATCCCTTTTGTATGTAGTAGTATTATCATCATTCAACTCTGAGGTCTTCATGCCTCATCTGGTCCAAGCAACGACGGGAGCCCCTCATACTCTCAGTCCTGGTTATTCATCCCTCCATCCCTTCATCCCTCTCTTCCCCACCCCTCCTTGGCACGGCAGCCTGTCATTAGATCCGAGCTTACAGACTCATGGCTTTAATTTTGGCCTGCCTGTCTCTACGTCTCATGCCATTTTGTGTCTGGTTTCTCCTCGAGGCTTGTGGGTAGAAGAAATACGAAATTTATTAGTAAACTGTTTTGGTTCAGTAAAAATTACATGCATGTTTTGATTGATTTTCCAAGCCTGCAGCCCTCTCTGTAGAAAACATTGTGCTGGTGTGTGGATGCCAGGGTCCAGAAAGTTCTCAAAGCAGATAGATAAAAGCGTTGCACATGTTCAGATCAAACTTATTTGATTCTGTCATTGTCACTCATATTGAGTTTAATTTAATCAATTAAATCAGACCATCTGGGCTCTGTTAATAGATATGCATGTTTTACATCTCAACAAAGCCTCAGTGTAGCCCTTTTGGGGTCATATAATAGTTACTTTTACTGAAAAGATTTGGAATTAAAGGCGTTATATAGACAAGACATTTTAAAGAATGAGTTTGATTGTTGGAACTTTGCATATCATGGCGTGGTTTTAAGTTTAAAGGTTTTCATGACAAGAGGGGTCAGGCTTATCTACAGAAGATTAACAGTATATGAAAGAGATGTATTCATGAAATAGGGACAGGTCCAACAACCTGGACCTTACACACACCTGAGAGATGACACCAACCCTCAACTGATCTTGCTGCTGTTCGCTGATCATGCCTCAACAGACGTGGCCTCCATGAGAGGGTGGCTGTCAATGAGCCATTCCTATCAAAGAAAAGCTGATTGAAAAAGGTGTAGGTATTTCTACTAAAAATCAGAGGCAACAGGTCTGATGAAACGATCAATCCAACCCATGGCATAGAGCTCCATATTACTGAAGCAGTGTGGGGTCATCCTGACACAGAATAGAACAAAACATAACCAACATTCAAAGTAGAGCTTTAGGACTGCCCTGGAGAATTATTCCAGGAGAGTACTTGTAGAGATAACACAAAATCTTTCTAAAATGGATCCAACTGTGTTGATGAACTGAGGTGGTCATACCAAATATTGAATTTCAACCCAGTTGAAGAATGATCTAAAGTCTTTCTCAGGTTCCCAGCGGTGGCATTATATTGAACTTATATCCCTCATGAGGAGCTGCCAATAGCTGGAAGCATGAAGTGACTGCAGAGCTGTCGTGTCTCTTTCTCCTTTTCTTTGTCCTCTAGGCATACCCTTCTCTGAAGCCCCTGGCAGCTTGGACCCGAGATCTTTGCCAACGAGTCAGTCAGTTTGCAGTTTGGGCAGAGACTACCCAGCCCCCCATCTTGTTTTGGTTGTCCGGCTTCACCTTCCCCAACGGTTTCCTCACTGCTGTGCTGCAGTCCTCTGCTCGCCAACGCAACGTTAGAGCTCACACCGCCACATGCACACAGACAGCCTGAACGTGTTGTCCTCAACTAGTTTAACATTTTTATATATTTATATAAATATAGTCTGTCCTCAAGGCTTCATATAGTCTGTCTATATTAATCAAATGATTTTCCAACTAAATACGAAAGAGGAAATATTGCATTTCAAAGCAAGAAAACACACAAACAACACACTTGCAAAGGATTACAAATTTTTCCTTTGGTAAAGGTTTTGAAAATGCCAATCCTCTACTCTCATAATAGTCTCATATTGCCATTGATTTCACTCCGCAACGGTACTATTGGCTTGTTTCTGGTTAAAATACAGGTCTCCGAATTGAATTATTCTTGTCATTGTTTAGCAAAAAGACAGTCCAATCCAAATTGATACAACTGCTCTGTCAGAGATAGTCGCTTTCAATCTGAAGAAGACTTTCTTCTTCTCCTGTGATGAGCTTCGCTATTGCTGTCATGCCAGAGAGAAGCTGTCACCTTTCTCAGCAACCCCAACAGCAGCCTCAGGAAATGAAGGGAGGAGCGTGTGGGAGCCTGTGGACCCGTCCACATGCTCCCACAGTAGCTGAGTAGCTGGTCCCCCTCCACCCCTACATGACCCATTTTGTTATTTCTGTAGGCTTTTAAAAAATATATATATATAAATTATTTTACACTGTCCAAACTAAATGCCCTCGTTAACCTGTCACGGCTCTCCTTTGATAACCCACACAAACCAGGCGGAGCTGGCCTGGTGCCACATTGGCGTGTCTTTGTCCAAAACAAGCAGGCCACACAGAATCAGTCAAGTAGCTGGAGTGCTGTGTTCTACAATGCACTATAGAGAAAAATGAGAATGGATAGAGTTCTTCCACTGTAGTGCAACCTCCATGCTTAAAAGGCATGTCACAGACAAAGCAGCATGGACAACCCACTCTGCCTCTGCACATGTCACCAAAGCATTGTCTGTACCACTTCAGTCACATAAGAAAAGGTCTGATATGTGACAAAAGCCAAAGTCAGACCCAAGGCCTGTAAAAGCAGTTGTAATTCATCATGACTTTGCTTTTTAAATAAATATTTTTTCTGGAATAGTTTTTTTCCCACATTGTAAAATGTTTTTCTATAGTATACAGCTTTGTTTTTCCTTTTTTAATTTTTTCCCTCATATCAAACAGCCTTCTCCCCTATACAGCAGTATGCATTATAATAATAAGTTACAATGGATAAATATTAAAAGCGAAAGTGATATGGAATATCCTCCTGATTTGTTCATGCTTAAATATAAACATTTACTCAATTTAAAACAGACCTCTAAAATAGTAGTCTAAATAAGTGACCATTTGTATTTTCAACACTGTCGATAGTAATCATTGAAATCTTTTGTTTGCCTTTAGATATCAGTTGACACTCTGTCCTGGGAGTTTATTGTGTCCACTGTTGATGACAACAACCTCCTTTCCCCGCCCAAGGTGACTCCCTGTTTATACACTCCTATTACCATAGTGATTTTCATAATCCTGCCATCAGAGCACTCCCACTGTTGGTGCTACTTTCTGTCCTTTTTTCATTTACACTCTGTTTTGTCTTCTGGAAAATGCATTTCATTAAAAGCAGGGGGCTGCTGAACTACTCTTAATATCACAACCCATCATCTCTTTTCTGAATCATTTCAGTGTTTTTTGCTTTTCTTTATTCTCATTATTTTTACTCAGCTTCCAAACAAACACATCTATCCCACCCTGATTTCTTAAGCTGTTTGTAAAGCTCTCCTCTTATGTCTCATGTTCATATTATGCAGTTTTTTCCCTCACCGCTCCACTCATCTTCCCATTTACTCACACCTATTTTTTCCTCTTTCCCCTCCTCGTACACCATCTTTAGCATAGCTGCATCATTTCCTCCAGCTTCCCCTTTGTCCTCCATTTCTCCTCCATCCATCTCTCCTAATGCAGCACTTCCTTTTCTGTTTTTTTTTTCTATCCCTACAGCTATATTCAAACAGTACCCCCTCAAAAACACACACACACTTCTGTTCCCAGTACCTGTCAGTAGTTCAGTACTTGTTCTCCCTGTGTCTTTTCCCTTCAGGACGGAGTGTTTATCAGAGGTTTATTCCTGGAGGGGGCTGGTTGGGACCAGAAGAACTCCTGTCTGGTGGAAGCTGAGCCCATGCAGATGGTCTGTTCAGTTCCCACCATCCACTTTAGAACAGCAGAAAACCGCAAGAAGATGTCTAAGAGTGAGTAGTCTGGAACTTCTTCGTTCAGGAGATTCCTTTCATCGTCGCACCCGCTGCCCCCATCTTTTTTTTTCTTAAATTATTCAGCTGTAATTTGAATATGAACTGATTCATCTTTGCTTTCTTGTTTTTGTCTGTCTGATGTTTCCATGTGGTTTTGCTGACTCAACCCCATCTGTCTCTCTTGTGTGTGTGTTGAAATAGGTATGTACCTGTGTCCATGTTACTACTTCCCAGTGCGTTCTGGGAGGGCAGGACAAGCATCTTTTGTGGTCGGTGTTGAACTCAAATCTGGAGCTGTGACTCCTGACCACTGGATCAAGAGAGGGACCGCTCTTCTCATGAGCCTGGACAGCTGAGACTTATAACAAACTGTTTTTTATTTTTTATTTTTTTATTTTACGTTTATCACATTTATCACATTTTTCATTTGACATGTGTCTTTGAGTTCTAAAGGACACAGAACAGACTTCTGAATTGGTGTGCTGTCAAACAGTCGTCTTCCTCTTTCTGTTTCGCTTCCATTTTCTGGTGTGAGCTGACCTATGGTGTCTCTGCAGACTTACATCAGTCTTTCCGTGCTGACCCCACTCAAACATGCACGCACACACACCTTAGTGGGGAATAGTGTCCTACTGTGAAGCGTTGTGAATGACAGGGCTGGAGTCTTCTTTGAAACATCTGTGTCTGCTTTGGTCATATAAATGTTAGCGTGTGAGCTCATTTAATTCCCAGCCTTATGAGCTGTCACGAGTTGTCGTCAATTTTATGTGAACATACCAGCACTGCCAAAGTGCTTCCTATACGGGTCGTAGAAAAAAAGGCACTGTGTGTGCTGATAAAAACAGAATAATTAATCAGTTTTTAGAAAATACTGACCAGAAACACAGTGCAGTAGACATGTCCATATGAAAGACATCATTCAAATGTTCACAGTGAGTTCATGAAAAAAAATCTGTGAAGCCTCGATTTACAAACTAAAGTCTGTAGCGTGCAAACTAGGGTCTTAGGGGGGCTTTTTTTATCTGACAGTGCCGATACATAATTCAATATTACATTCTTTATTATTAGAAAAACAAGCCATGGTCTTAAACAGATGAGGCACAGGCGAGTATGCCAGTTCCAACCTTCACTTCTCTCTCTTAGGATTTGGAACAGAGACCAAAATAAATGGATTGCTTATTAGAGCTTGATAGATGACTTCCTTGTTTTCATTCTATGACACAGAGAAAGGAGCCCTGTCATCTGTTCAGAGCTCGTATTGGAAGTACCTGATCCTTAAAAAGGCCAGTGGTGTTGTTTTGGAACTCTTTTTGGAGGACTCTCTCATTCGGACGAGGACCTGCAGCACAGCCTGAATCTACCACAAAGGATGACTCTGGGAACAGCTCGGTGAATTACCTGCTGCTGACCGAGGGTAAGGGGAAGACGTACGAATGGCTGGAAATACAGACTAAAAAAAAACACAGCCAAAAGGTTCACAGAGAACAGACGCTTGCTGGTTTTCATAGTTTTTTTATTCAAATTCCCATGGAAGGGGACTTGGTGTACATTAGGGAAAATAGAAATAACTGCTCAAATGATATGATTCGCCAGCTGTTTGTGGTTGGAGCTGGCAAACAGTGAACTTTGATGATAGACCAGCACTTCCCAAACATGATATAAGAAATTCCTTGAGATGAACGTAATTTCTGAATGGGATCGCTCATCTTTTTATTCTTTTGTGGCCCACAGCTGCTGTGGATCAGAGGTTAATTTCCAGTCAGGACAGCTAGTTCTACAGAATCAGTCAATGGCAACATGTCAGATTCACTTTCTGTTAGTAGGCTTTTTTGGGGGGGGGGTTGGCAGCTTATTCCTCCTCTTCGAATCAGCTTTGTAAGTGAAAGGAAACCTGACACCACTTAGTATAAACTGCACAGAGTTTTCACATTTGCCATTTAACCGATTCCCCCTCATCTTTTAGCCTGACCTAAACTTGCTCTGGATAAACTTTGGACGTAAAACCATGAGTTAGACTTGAAGCTACCCGGACAAACCAATGAATTCCTGGATTCCAGTCAATGAAGTAACATTTTCATTTTAGGCTAGATCTTCTTTGCCTTGTTCAAGTGAAAGTTTTAAAGGAATTTCTTGTTCTGAATTTGCATGAAAATCGACATCAGCATCATTCCACCTCAAGGCTTAGAAAAGTTAATGATCACAGCCCCACAAATTCAGATTAGTGCACTGAATGACACACTGCTTCTGCTGTTTCCTCATTGGCTCTGCCCTCTGCACTGAAACTTCAGTAACCCTCATGAAAACACTGCAGTCAGTCAAGGAAAGCTGAAGGATATGTATATGCTAATATGAATCTCCAAAGAACAAGGTTGGAGGCAGGCTGACCAAACGAATGAATAGTAATGAGGCTTTTCAGACGAGACGTTTGGTGTCACTCAGTTGGCGCCATGAGAGACGAGCCCTGGACTTCCCTACTGGAAGGGACTAAGCCCAAAGTCCTGAAAGGGAGGAGGAGAAGGACAAGAGAAGGACTCCGGAGAAAGTGAGGCCATAGAAAGAAAGGTCCAGTAATGAGAGAGGGGAACCAGGGAGGGTAGAGGAGGAAAGGCGGGGTGCAACTCAAGGTTGTATTCAGAAATGAGGATTGTACTCTTTTGAAAGACCAAACACAGACTTCCTCAGGGTTTAAGAGCCTTTTTATCTGGCCCAGGTCTGTGTGTGTGTGTGAGTGTGTGTGCACACTGGTGGTCTCTAGTTGGGTGGGAGACATGGGGAGTACGCTGAATTCAAATTCAAATTGGTGTATTCATTGGGCTGGTTGTGACAAATATTGGACCCCGGCTGAAATGAAGAAGAATGTAAATGTGCTGTGGAGCGGTTTTACATGTGTTATGCAGCATTAATTACTTTTGCGTAAATTTGAATCTGGAAACCCCATGTTTTTAAAAATTAAATGAAATAAAGTTCCTTCTCGAACGCAGGAAGACAACTTTGCTTTTCCAATTTCGGAAGGAAAAACCAAGTTTGTATCTTAGGCCCCATAACAACCATTACAGGATAAGCCAGAGGAAGTGCTTCATCACATGAAACCATCTGTTGAACATGGACTCACTAGAATCTGAGCGGCCTGACTGTGGAGGCTCCCTGACAGCACCTCACACTCTCCCAGGAGCAAACCGAATCTCATCTGGCCTGAACGGGTTTCGTCTTGTACTTTAATTTGATTTCCCAGCATGTCTGTGACCTAGTTTTGCGTCTCTTGAAAAAGTTCCCGGCACCTGGCAAGATTACCCCCAAAAAAAGGAGCAACTTTTAATTCTTCAGGTTGCTGATGGCAACAACCCGCAGCCCAGCAGCAGCAGCAGCAGCCCCGCACTTGAACCTGGGACTTGAGGCTCTCCATTCAGCAGGAGCCGATCATGGAATTTGGGCAAGTTGTACAGTGTGTTTGCCAGTAAGTATGGAGGCGGGGCAGTTAATGTCCGAGACTCTTCCACTGAAAATAAACCTGCATGGGGGGAAGAGAGAGAAGGAGAGAGAAAGGGAGGGAGGAGGAGGAGGAGGAGAAAGGGAAAGAGCCTTTCAACGGGGACAGAAAGAGTCTCCGTTTCAATAGAATTTTTTTTTTTTTTAACTGCGCAATTTCTTTTAAGGACTCCCTGCTTGGATGGAAAATTTCCCTCTATGACAATGACATAAATCACAGAGCTGGTTCTGTTTTTTTTTTTTTTCTTCTTCTTCTTCTTTTCTGGGAGGAGGTGATACGAAAATCTGTGCCCATCGCTGCCCGCGCTGAGTAGGAGCCCTCAGCAGCTTTTGTCTCATGTTTTTATTCCGGCAAAAGGCTCCGACCACGGGAGGAAAAGAGCTGTGCAATCCTTTGGGCCGATGTGACAGTGCAGATATGCAACATCCCTGATGGGCTCGCCCGTCATGCCTTGCCCATGGGCGACTACCAGCACATTTTCTGGGATCTGCTCCCCCCCCCCCCCACACACACACACGCAGAGCCCTGCACCTAAACGCCTTATGGATGTAGAATGGGGGATCGCGCTTTTTGGGAAAGGGCTGCGTCATCTTGCGACTGGACACGGAGATGGACTGCTGGGCAGATCTGCCCCTCGTAGGCTGCTTTAGCTCGGCGCCTCCCCGGGAGATGTTTGGACCGCACAGAAAAGGTAAGCAGCAGACACGGTGAGACCGGAGCCCACATTCTGCCATGTGAGGCGGAACCTGTGTTCTCTAAATGCTAATGTAAAATAAAAAAAAACCCATGACACACAGTATTCTATTCCTGACGTAGGTCTTATAAAAGGGACGCGATAACAGCAAAATACGGAGAAAACTCACTGCTGGAGAAATGGGAGCTTTTGACAATCTCTGTTTAAAAAAAAAAAAAGCAGACACAAATTATATGTGGATGGTTTAGTGGGTGGTCATTATATAATATGTAATAATGGATTAGGCCAACTTTACGTGAATAATAGTTCGAGTTGTCTCATTGGAAATGCATGCGTCTGTGCTTTAGAATGACGTTTCGTTCTCTTTCTGTAAATTATCACTAAAACCAGAGTTGGTGATGTCATGTTTTCTACGGTAAGGAAAGGGATAGTTTACGGGAAGGAAGGATCTAGAGTTGGTGATGTCGCAATCGGCTTGTGTTGATCTCGGTCTACGTAAACACAAAAGGCGATAAATTGCATTTGTGGGTGTGATGTGCAGCCGTCGCATTTATTATCTCTAACCGTTGGTCAAATAAACGCTATCTTGGTGGAAAGCTGTTTGCAGATGGTGGAGGAAGGAGTGTCGCATTTTCTTTCGGAAATGTCATGTGGTGAAGTTGTGGCGGGTTCTCCACTATTTCCAGGAAGAGCGTTTGAATTTTCTTCCCCTGGATTTTCTTACTGTCTCCACCCCCCTGCCGCCTGCCTGCCGTCGGAGCAGCAGTTGGTCTTCCCGCCACAAGATGGCGACTGTGGACTATGCTTTAAAGAAGGGGGGGGGGGGTGACTCACTCCGGGCCTCTAGGGCTGCTGTCCTGCTTGTTGTGGGTGTTTCCCTGCTTCAACACACGTGCCATTACCGGGCTCGTGCGGAACTCATCTAGTTAACCACAATCAGGTGTGCTGGAGCAGGGAGAGCTCCAAGGACCGAGTTTGGACGCCCTGCTAAAGCCTGTATGCTTAAAACATCAAGAAGACTTAGGTATATTTGTTACTAGGTAATGAACGTTAATTTTCTCTTTTTATATACATACATACATACATACATACATACATACATACATACATACATACATACATACATACATACATACATACATACACACACACACACACACACACACATATATGTGTGTGTATATATATATCTTTTTCTATCTATATTTGATGATGAGCAAATTCATTTTATTATAATATATTTCCAGGGCTCTTCAATATGTTGTTGAAGCTTTTATAAACAATGTGGATATGAAACAAATGCATTCATTGGTCAGCAAGAATGCCAAAATATTATTATTATTATTGGAGTGACTTTTTAACAGGTGGTCATAACTGCTTGTCACTCTCACTTATTGCTCTTATACATAGCATGTAGCTTTAAAAAGAGCAGCGTGTGAACTCGGTTTCCCACAGTGCAGTGCACAAAGGGGGGCAGCCGAGCTGCAAAACATTAAAAACTAAATTCAAGTGCCTTAACTTATTGAGTGGATGTCATGAAACCAGAGGCCCTTATACAATGTGTAATGTGCTGTTTTTATCCTTAGAGACTTAGACTTAGACTTAGACAGTACTTTATTGATCCCTTGGGAAGACTCCCTCAGGAAATTAAGGTTACCAGCAGCTTAAAGGGCAAACAGTGTCAAGTTAGAATTAGTTTAAGCAAAAATATACAAATAAATAAATAAAAATACAAAAAATACAGATTAAGTACAGTGTATGTGTATGTAATATCTCTTCCCCCTGTCCTGTGTCACCTCCTCGCCCCCAGTGAGGCGTTGTACAGTTTGATGGCGTGGGGGACAAAAGAGTTCTTAAGTCTATTGGTCCGGCGCTTGGGAAGCAGCAGTCTGTCACTGTGATTTTATTTAATTTTTCTAAGCAGACTTTAAAGTGACAAACACCACCCTGTTATAAACTATGACTTAAGAAAACTCTACCATAGTTGATGCAACATTTACCAGTTTTGTATTCACATGCACAATGTGTCTCAGACTGCAGCTGGATGGTTTTTGAAAGGGCAGGAGCGTATTTTGTCCTCTAGGGGGCG